ACTGTCTTGGCATCTTACAAAATCGAAATCAGATATCCAATGATCTCCAATTGGTTTGATTTCCTGTACGGGTTACCATGAAATCCTTTGTTCTATGTAGATACCACAAACCAGCTTTAAAGTCATTCTTAGAGTATTGATTGAGATTGTACTTATCTCCTTAGTAGCAGGGGTATCATTTGGCTTACAATCTTGTATCCAAAATCTATTAAGAAACTTATCAACATAGCTTTTTTTTTGTAATAATCCAAGATTAGCCTGAGAATGATCTCGGTGTATTTGTATCCTTAATACAAAAATGGTGTTACCAAGATCTTTCATTTCAAAATTCTTTTATAGAAATCTCTTGATTTCGTGCAATAAGTCTATATCATTGCAAACAAATAATATGTCATCAACATACAGTACCTGAAAAATATGCTTAATCCCACTGAATATGTAGTATACACAATTATTAACTGCATTTCTCTTAAAATCGAACAAGATAATTACTTGATGAAATTTGTGATATTGTTGATGGAAAACCTACTTATGCTTATAACTTCTTTAATTTACAAACTATCTTTTTTAGATCTTCAGACACAGTTTTTCTATTGCATAATATAGATAGTCTCATAAATGTCACTATTGAGAAACATTATCTTTACATCCATGTGATGTATCTCAAGATCAAAACATGCCACAAGTGTAATAATAGTCCTGAAATTTTTGTCATAGAAATCGGAGAGAAAGTCTCTTTGAAATCAATACCTTCCTTTTGAGTAAAGCATTTTGTGATAAGACAGGCCTTATATCTCTCCATATTATCATTCGAATCCCTCTTGATTTTAAATATCCATTTACAACCAATTGATTTTGCACCAAAAAACAATAAGATGAGTTTCCAAACGTCATTGTCTTTCATAAACATTATCGATTCATTCATGGCATCAATTCACATTGAGAATTGTTTCCTTTGCAAGGCTTGATGAAAGTTGATTGGACTTTCTTGAGAATGACTATAAAGTCATCCAAAATTGTCTTTCTCCTTTCTTTGATAGATCTCCTTAACGATATTTGTTCTTGAAGTTGTTGAGTTTATTCTTCTAGAAAAATCTCTTGATTGTATATAAGGGGTTCTCGAATATTGTCTTGATTCGGAGTTATTTCTTGAACATGATCCAAAACACGAATTTGTCTCCGATCCTAATCATTGTCGCAACAGAAGAAGTAGTTACATATTCCTCCTTGAAGACAAAATACCTAACCGTATCCCATTTAGCTTCTCAAACTCCACATCCTAAAAAAATTAGGTATTTCTCATTACAAAAATTGACCTATTAGTGGGGTCATAAAATTTGTAGCCCCTTGGAATTCTATTAAGAATATAAGCTTCAGTCTTTAGTGCTTTTCTCTAGAGGGATTTTGTAAGGTAGAATGACTAATTATACTCCTTATAATGTCCTTAAGTGTTTTGTTTTGTCTCTCAACAACACCATTACCGCTGGGATGATTCCACATTACTCTAGAAATTAACAAAAGGCCCTAAATGTTATTCTCCCGATCTGTCATATCTGTCATAGTATTCATCACTACGATCAAATTTGGCGTGTTTTACTTTTCTTGCAGAGTTGATTTTCAACCGCAGCCTTACAAGTAATAGCACCAGAATCAATCTACTAAGTATGGTACCACTAATTTCTCTTTCAAATCCAAATTTCGTTTAAAAGATGGTAGAACTAAATTCTTTTTCAAATCCAAATAAAAATCAATCTTTAATAATAATCTAAAAGCTCATATAGCTTTAACTTCAACTGATTTGTCGTCACCCGTATAGATGAATCTTTTAGCATCATTTCGATTTCAATTGTTCAAGAACCATGCATAGACACACTTATACAAATAATAGCACCATAATCAATCTACTAAGTATGTTTAGGTACTGAAACTAAATTAACCTTAAAACAAAACAAAGTGAGAAGTATACTTTTTTTTACACACCAAGCGTGATACTTAGTACAATCCCTCTTCATGTGAACCATTACAACCATTGATTCATTTTCAGGCTTTTACTGTTTATTTTGAGCTGAATCAGATATAGCTTCCTTATTCTTTCTTTTCTTGAATTTATTTCTAAAGGTACTAGCTAAGTGACCACCTTCAGTCCTCTCTTGATTTAGCATTTCTTCTTCTTGGACACAATATGAAATAAAGCTCATTAGAAAAACGAATATTTTTTTATCCCAGAATAACTAATAAGATTGTCTGCTGACCTCTTTAAGATCAAAGAGACAATAGACTTAATTGTATTTAATTTTGAAATTCATACATATCTTCAGCTAAGAATCTAATAAATTTCTAATTTTTATTCAGGTGTATTCTGATGAAAGGACGATCGAAGCTGAACCAGCTAATGGAACTATCACATGGCACTACAGAGTTCAACAAAAACCAAAAAACTATATTTCCGTGAAATCTAACCGACAAGTTTGTCTATTGATCTCTCTAAGATCAAAGAGACAACACGGATTCAGATATTCAACTGGAAATTTCTGGTTCATACAATTTCATGAGATGCTTTTGTTTCAACCGTTTTTCCATAAAAACACATCTAAATAAAAATTAGAAATTTATTAGATTATTAGCTGAAGACGTGTATAAGTTTTAAAGCTGAATATTACTAAGTGATCAATGCTGAAGGGGTTTTATTCCAAAATATGGATATCTGTTACCTCTTTAATCTTAGAAAGGTCACTCAAAATAAAAAGGCTATTATTTCTTTTAAGTTTGGTGATGCTAGAGAGAATAAATTTGTAGGGCAGGGGTAAAAAAAAGGAATAATAAAAGTAAAGGACTAAGAAAACATAAAAATTAATAAAATGGGGGTTAATTATCTGATTGGTCACGAAACTTTGAGGTTCTTAGGGGGTCACTCAAACTTCAAAGTTTTCCCATTAGTCACATAACATTAATTTCTTGATTTGTTACTGAACTTTGCGTAAAAATTTTAAGGGGTCATTGAATTTTAAAAGTTTCCCCGTAGCCACTATACTTTATAAAATATAATCCAATTCATCACTCCGTAACGGAAGAGTTTACATTTTGTCAAGTTCAATGACTAATGGAAAACTTTATAAGTTCAGTGACCCCCTTAGGAACTTTAACCAATTAGAAAATTAACCCTTACTTTATCCTTATACTTTGGTGAAACTAAGTTGATCAGAAGTGTAATAATTTCGGAGTTATCGTTTTCCGTAAAATGCTTTTCAATTTTTCTAAGAAATTCTTTGGTAGTCGTTACCTTATCGGACACAGGGCCACTAAATATTTCTGGATTCCTCACTTTATAATCATAAAACTTATGCAATTTGAACGATCCCACTTATCAAAGTCCATTTTCATTGGCGAAACTTTTATCCGTAAGTGTAACGAGCTGTTTAGTCTTAAAGTAAGATTTAGATCTATGCAGCCAAGAACAATATAAATGCTCTCTTTCTAGTCCTTAAAGTTGGTTCTATTAAACACAGGAATAGAATTGATATTGAAAAATATTGTAAAAGTAGATGAAAAACTAAATAGAGAATACAAACCAAAAAATACAAGTTCACATGAGAACCCATATTAAATAATCAATAAAATCAAATAATGGTAGGCCTCATTACAAGAGATCGAACAAAACATTGACATTTAGTTTTTGGACATAAATATCAACTTATAAGTGGTACTCTTGATGAAGTAATCAAATATTGACATAAACCACATCAAACATTAAGTCTATCTTCGGACCGATTCAATGTTCATATAATAAAAAAACTTTATAATTGATGCATATTTATTACAACAGGTGTTCGTATAGTTCGATCAAATATTGACCTTCCTTTGGACTGATCAATAGCTACATGAATTATATACACACATGACCATCTTAATTTTCCAAATAAATCAATTTATGTTATTTTGGTACCATCTAGCTTTAACTAATCTATTTTACAATATTAAACATCCAAAAGAAACTCTAAGTACTAAGACTTGGATTTGATTATCTATCCATTTTATTTTTATTTCTTTCCGAAAAATTCTCAAAAAATAAAATTTGAAATTCGAAATTCCGAGCCAAAATTTGCATCCCATAATTGGAGAATCCAAAGTACAAATTTGATCTCTAAAATTCTTGCTTGATTCTCAATGATTTAACTTGGAGTTGACTCTAATACCACTAGTTAAATATAAAACTTTATGAATCTTGATTTAGAAAATTCATTTACTTTATTGTCAAGATCTTCCATATCAAATCACTAAGAGAATTAAAAGTGCGGAATATATCTTAATCCATTGAGAATGAGTTTGATTACTAGATCTTGAACTGCGCGTTCTTGATTAAAAGATTTGCAAGTTCTTGATCTTCCTCTTGGATATGATTTCTCTTGTATTCTTGTAATGGGATAACACGAAGAATTAGAAGTCATGGACGAATTGGGGATCGTAACCTTATAATATACCTTTCTATATGTATTTTCGACCCATCATGAAATACAACCCTAAGGAATTTGGTCTCTACACGCATTTGGCCCATGCCTTATTAAATGTCCAAAGACCAACCGCTTTAATTCTTTATTAGATCACTTTAAATGGACTTAATCATAAAATAGCCTTTAATACACAATTAATTACATATGTAGGTCCACTTAACAAATTAAAACCCAACATACTTTACCATTCGATCATGACATCATTTACTTGCAATTAGAAATCAGCAACACCCAAGAGCATGGAGACTAAAATTTCTTTCATTGGAACTTCAAAAACGAGAAACCTGAGTCAGACAATGTAGTAAAAAATAATAATATTATTATTGACAGTGTGGCTACATTCAAATAAGAGAGGAAGCTCCTTTCAATATATTAGGATTCTTCAATTAGAATAGCAGTGGATCCACATATCACCAACAAATAATGCTATATGTCACCCACTAATGTAGCAATAGCTAGTCAATAGAAAAAATAATTATTGTATGATATGACCACAAATTTATCAGAGTTTTTCTCATCCCCCTACAGTAGGGTTGCAAGCCAAGATACAAACAGAAAGTCAAATTGTGGAAGAAATTGAAATGCAATGATAAAGTATTGAGCAGCTTTAATGAAACTTGCTAAGAAAGATTGGAACTCCAACAGATAGTTTCCAAGTTTGTTGATCTTTATCTTTTCTACATAACACGTCTTGAAACAATACAAATTTTGAACTCAATCAAAGTCCAATTTCACTCAACAAAGGTTAATCACGTTAAACAGTCTCTTTTCCAGCGCCAATAGATCAATAAACGTGAGATCATCGGCCATGGCCTGCAAGAAGATGTAAACAGATCAATGAAAAAAAAGAAATCCCTCTTCTAACGTTTAAATATAACTCCTAAAATAGAATTTGAAGCGGAAATGAATCAAGAATGAATCAAGACAATCAATATTTGTTTTCGATCATAAAGGACCTACGGATAGTAGGCAACTACTTTAATAAAGCAAGCTTCAAAATTCCCAAAGATTAAAAGATTAAAATTGCTGCCCAGAGATATCATACAGAAGGAAACAACAAGAGCGTAAAATATATTGTACCTCAAACTGAATTCTGTGGAGGAACCTTCGATCATTTGTTCTTGTAGAAACACAGCTTACCACATTGAGCCTTCTCAAAACCAATTCCACAAGCACACTTGATAGAGGAACCAGTTCCCCTTTGGAGCTGGTGTTTATCAAAATCTCAAATCCCTCTCGGCAGGGACTCACTGTCACACAATTAGTTAACAAATTAATGTTCGAGTTTTCATCCTCGCCACAAAGGGAGCCTGAAGTATACAATTTCTTTTGCTTGTCTCTTCTCAAGCTCAGTTCTTTGATACTTTTCTGCATATCTTTTATGTAATTCACAGCCTCGAGCATGTGATCTGATACTGCACGCTTCCCCTACAAGATCATAAACGTGTTTGGTTAATAATATTATCGAGTGCTGCCGTTTGATTAGAGCATGTACTGTATATGATATATACATTCACCTTGATATATTCAAGAGGAAGAAGTGATCGAAGTGAAGCATAAAGCTTTTTCATTTCTTGCCTTCTTTGCTTTTCCAAATCTCTATGCAGAAGTTTCTTTTTCTTGTTTTCAGCACTAATCCCATCCAGCTCCTTTACTTGATTACCCGAAGAGGGTTTTCTTTGCCTCTTTTTTGAGCGTGTAGGAATTGGAAAATTATGATTGTCCATCGCAGGTAAATATTTATCGACAAGCAGATCTTCAAGAATTCCTGAGTCTTGTTCGAAAACTGAAGGGTCCTGAAACGACAGATCGTTGTATTGTTGAAAAGGAAACTCGCTCATGGTAAATTTTTAAAGGTTTTCTTGATGATTCCCTGTGATCTTTTCACATAAAAATGCAAGCCCTGCATACATACCTTTCTGTATTAAATAGATGAGGACCATTCTAGTTAAACCGCCAGAAAAAAAGTAATCATCAAATTAGGGTACAGTAACTGCATTTAATTAATTATGGGTACGATTTGACATAATTTATGTTTTTAATCAGTGGTGATTAAATTAATAAATGACAGCCTTAACCCAGAAAGCGGAATAAATTCAGACTTTGGTGGTGATTTATTTATGTCGGATATCTGAAAATGGAAAACCCAAGAAAAGTCATGTGTTTGCCCAAATGGGATCAACTTTTAAATATTATCTAGTTGATGAATACGACGGTTACTGTTAGAGTAATTGAGACATTAAAGATTAATTAGTATACAATAAGATGAACAGATGAAAATTTCCAACTTTCACAAGAAAGATAACAGTTACGTTTGATTAATTTAGTGACATAATTATGTAGGAGATCTTATTCACAAATAGCAGATGCAAATCTATATATATTTTTATGTCTTATTTCATGATTTCTTGAATACTTGATGAAGATCTTCTAGCCCCTTGTAGGTATGTATTTGAAAGATTAATTAAAGAAATCATATAGTTTATAAACAATTAGAAATGCACGAAATGACCCCATCATCTCCATTTTAGAAAAGATGTATTGCAACCATACTCATCTGCATCCAATACTGTGAAGGCCCTACTCTTTTAGAAAAAAATTATTGAAACCTTAGTCTTTCTTCTTCCCAAAATATTGAGGTTCAATCTTCATCAACAGTCTAGTTTTTGCAAAACAGAGTAGAATGGAGAACTCATCTCCCTACAGGCTAAAGCCGGCTTATGAACGAAAGCTCAGCCTCTGTTCTCGAGATTTTGATGATAAATATCTTCGCTTAAGAGAACTTAAAGAGGGTTTCTTATCTTGTCAAAACTTAAAGAGTATATATTCGTCAATTTTTATGGTATTTTCAAATTTTGTCTTGCGTTGGGAATTTATGTGGTTAAGAGGTTTGTAAATAAATTATTTAATGTTTATAGGAGATCTATCACCTGAACATAAATATAGTTTGTGAGTTTTTTCCTTCTATAATTCTCAAAATTTTGGTATTCCTCGAGGAATGCTCAATGATATTTATAGTTCATAGTCTTTAATAATGACCTAATTTTTATGACTTGCTTGTGTATAAACGAAGAACAAAACAAAACAAGAAAACAACGCATGGTATTGAATTAGCGTCAATGACTGAAATATAAGAAAATATTATTTTGTAGAACAAGGAGACCTGATTATGTAGGCTTCAAGAAGGGTACGAAAAACCAGGAACAAAAGATATCTATGATATGGTCTTATTTGAGACTGTAATAATTTGTAGCTTCCTTTAACATAAATCTTGAGTGAAGAATCCTCACTTGAAAAGATAAATTCCAAGATTTTTTAAATGTTTGAATTATCTTGCTTTGTAAATCTACAAATCCGCAATTTTGCTTGCAAATCTCCAAATCCACAATTTTCTTGCAATCCAATGGTTCCAATTCCAATCACAATGGAAAGGGTTATCCACAATCTAAGTGTCTTATTTTGTGAATTTTCATGCCAAAATAGTGATTTTAGGGCCTTTCTAATTTCGGCAATATTTTCCATACGAATTTCAACATTTCTCTTTGCATCACTCTCTCTCAAATGCTAGACAAAAAATTGGAGATTGTATGAGAGTTAAGGGTAGTAATAAGGAGTCGTAGATTTGAATTTCCAGTTTAAACTACTCCCTCCAATCCTTTTAATGTATTGTGGGTTAGGTCTCCTCACATGGAGATCCACGACCCATATTTTCCAACATCTTCCACTCACGTATGATGGGCTTCACTCCAACCACAAGTGGCAAAGAAGGTCATAACTTAAATCCTTCTCAAGATCTATCTCACAACAATTCATTGTAGTCACAATTGTATTCTATACCCTAAATGATTAAACACAATTGTTGGACCAGTGAATACAAATATAAATATTGATCAAAATAGTTTTCCTTTCCTACTTGAATTTTTACACTTTAAATCAGTTGCTTTTCTAGATATGTCCTATTAAACCGAATCAATCATAGTAATTGGTAACATGCTAAAGTAGCAATACTGGCAAAAAAAATTCAAGAAATAGTCAAAAGTTATAAGGGTATGTATGAGGTTATATAAACCTTAAGATCTTACACAATGAGAAAGCAGGGATCCATTCATTCATTTACCCATTGTTGGTCATAAAAGCAGATGTGGCATGAAACACATACTACGGTGTATTCTTCCTTTCTTAGGTGTATATCATATTCTTTATAGACAAATAACATCATACAGATCATAGTCCAGGTATTCCCCAATACCTAACTTGAGTTCTCCTTACGTTCAATCCTCTAGACAATCTCAAATCGAGAACTCGATCTAACATAAATAGGTTTAAGGGATAGCATATCCGTTTCGATTATTTACTATAATCTCATCTTGATATCTCATCAAGACGACCAGATCATATATACATTTTGATCACTTTGTCTCATCTCAGCATATCCCAAAATGTCTAAAGCGATTGTTCGTGTGAGTGAATCAATCTCAACCTAGTTGACATACTTTATACATGAATGCAAATCATTATTTCGTAATCTCAATATTAGATTACATATGAACTCAAACTTGTTCATCTATGGGCACGCAAAACTCAACCAAGAGTTTTCTAATACATTAAGTATCATATTTTACACAATTCTAGAGATTCAAATCTTCAAAGTATGATGATTGCATATCATCATTTGTGTAGATATATCACAAAGACAAATTCTTTGCTAATGTCTCTCATGAAAATACCATCAAGTGTTTGGTTTTGTTTTCAGCTGTCAAGATATATACTGCAAGATATGTTTTTTGCTACTCTGTAAAGCAAGATTGCACAAGCCTAATAACTATTTGTGCTCAATCAACTCTCATCATTAGTCGACATTTGCATATCTATTCCAATAATAAGTTATTCATTCGACAACAAATAAAATAATTGATAGCAGTTCCCTGGAGGTATCACAATATCCTTTCTAAGGATAACAATGATACGTACTGACTAGATCCATGGCATGAAAGATGTTAGGATAAGTATACATTATAGCATACTTCTAACTCATAATCGTACTAGATATGATTCTCTAGATATTTATTTGTGTACTTATGAATTCTTTGGACATAGATTAAGACTCATATGGTTGCCTTCCGATATAGGAGTATCAACAGTGTAGTAATTCCACAGTTAAAAATATTCTAGAGTCTTTATAATATATAGCTCTTATGACAGAGTAAGAATAGAATAATCTTTTTAACACAAAATGTACAGTTTGCTAAATACATGTCCTTCATCTCAAAGATTGAAGACAACCATTTCAAAATGGTCTGAAAATACATCATTCTCATGCTTAGCTATAATGTCATTGACATCAAAATTAGAACTACAACATACCATCATAGCTTTACATAAATACAATGACTTTCATCCACATGATGAAATTTCATACAAGATTTAAACCCTATTAAAACTCAAGTACCATAGTCCATATGATTGCATTATGCTACAAGTGTAATTATAAAATTACCTCAATACTATAAAAAACCTTCAACATGAAACCTACAAATTGATTCATGTAAATCTCTTCGATATCGCAATTGAGAATGAAAATATAATCTCTAAATCTATTGGTGTAATCTAAACTTAAACATACTGTTGTGGCTAACATCGGCATATAAAATTGAATCTCAATACAAAGAAAAAGGTTTATCTAACTCAATATACTCATATTGAGTGTAATTTCTCTCTAAAAAATAAACTTTATCTATCATAAACTCATTAGTCTTTCACTTAATTTTTGAGTACCTGAATGTTCTTAATAAATATAGTGTCCAAGCAAAACTTCCACAACATATCAAATTAGATCGGAATTCCACATTCCATATATACTTCCATCACCTTCCTTAAATTTCTTCACTAGTTTTCTGAATCAAGAATCATTGAAATTAAATAGCTCTTAGCTCTCACTTAGAACCAAGAACCATTGAAATTAGATAGTTTTTTAATAGCTTCCACTCTGATAGATAGCACCCACTCAGAAACAAATTACTCTCACTTAAATCAGAAGTTTAAACCAACTGTTATGCATTTAGAAACTGATTCATCAATACATATATTATCAATTTCAATAATATTTTCCAAAATTTTCTCCCTTACTGGGAAAAAATGTCAAATGTCATATCTTATAGCCCAAAATCCATCCAAAATCTCATTTAAGTATGTATCTCAGAGATACGTCTCATTCTTAATAGATTCATGTTCACAATCTTGTTATTAAGAACTTATAAAGTCTATTGTGAGTCTAGGATAACCCATACTTAGTTATCTATGTGTCCAAAGCTTTTATATATATGTTGCAGTTAACTAAACACGTAAATTGGACTATATTATCTCAGGCCTCATCACATTTGACAATATTTCATTCCTTCTATTCAATAGACCATATATTATTGGTGATTAAAGAATAATCATTCCAATAAAAGTTCTCCTTTCATTACCTTGATAACTGAACTCTCATGATAGAGATTCACGTTCTCAAATAGTTCTCAAAGTCTCCACTTTTGTAATCTATTTTTCTATTAAACTTCAAAAAAGTCTAAATCAATACAATATCTTCAACTTAAAAAATCAGAGGCGCAACTAAAATGAGTGAATTCATCTATAGATGTAACAAAAAATGAAGTTTCATCTCTATCTCTCTTAATCATGGCCCGCAAAGAAATTCAGATGATTTTACTCTATTAAATTTTAAATATTTCAATTTTGAATGGGTTTCTCAACTCAAAACTTTAAACCATTGTACGATTATTTAGAACCATAATAAATATCACCACTATAAGTACGAATAAAACTGCCACATATAAGTTCAAGTAAGAAACCAGTCTTAGAAGGATAACAACTAAGACAAGTTTAGTGGAGTCTTTGATACTATTTT